TTAAAAAGTGAAACTTGTATATTATATTCATACATTACATACAAACTCATATATTTCAGATGTTTATTTTGTTTAATTTTGATGATTACAAATGACAACAAATGAAAATCTCAAATTCATCATATCAGAAAATTTGAATATTACTGAAGACCAATAAAAACAAAGGATTTATAGAAATGTTGGCCAACTGAAAAGTATGAACATGAAAAGTATGAGCATGTACAGCACTCAGTATTTAGTTGGGCCTCCTTTGGCCTGTATTACTGCAGCAATGCGGCGTGGCATGGAGTCGATCAGTCTGTGGCACTGCTCAGGTGTTATGATAGCCCAGGTTGCTCTAATAGTGGCTTTTAGCTCTTCTGAATTGTTGGGTCTGGTGTATTGCATCTTCTTCTTCACAATACCCCATAGATTTTCTATGGGGTTAAGGTCAGGAGAGTTTGCTGGCCAATTAAGAACAGGGATACCATGGTCCTTCAACCAGGTACTGGTAGCTTTGGCACTGTGTGCAGGTGCCAAGTCCTGTTGGAAAATGAAATCTGCATCTCCAAAAAGTTGGTCAGCTGCAGGAAGCATGAAGTGCTCTAAAACTTCCTGGTATGTGGCTGCGTTGACCCTGGACCTCAGAAAACACAATGGACCAACACCAGCAGATGACATGGCACCCCAAACCATCACTGACTGTGGAAACTTTACACTGGACTTCAAGCAACGTGGATGAAGTGCCTCTCTTCTTTTCCTCCCGACTCTGGGACCTTGATTTCCAAAGGAAATGCAAAATTTACTTTCATCAGAGAACATGACTTTGGACCACTCACCAGCAGTCCAGTCCTGTTTCTCTTTAGCCCAGGCAAGACGCTTCTGACGCTGTCTGTGGTTCAAGAGTGGCTTGACACAAGGAATGCGACAGCAGAAACCCATGTCTTTCATACGTCTGTGTGTGGTGGTTCTTGAAGCACTCACTCCAGCTGCAGTCCACTCTTTGTGAATCTCCCCCACATTTTTGAATGGGTTTTGTTTCACAATCCTCTCCAGGGTGCGGTTATCTCTCTTGCTTGTACACTTTTTTCGACCACATCTTTTCCTTCCCTTCGCCTCTCTATTAATGTGCTTGGACACTGAGCTCTGTGAACAGCCAGCCTCTTTAGCGATGACCTTTTGTGTCTTGCCCTCCTTGTGCAAGGTGTCGATGGTCGTCTTTTGGACAACTGTCAAGTCAGCAGTCTTCCCCATGATTGTGTAGCCTATAGAACTAGACTGAAATACCATTTAAAGGCTTTTGCAGGTGGTTTGAGTTAATTAGCTGATTAGAGTGTGGCACAAGGGGCCATCAATTTTGAACCTTTTCACAATATTCTAATTTTCTGATATGATGAATTTGAGATTTTCATTTGTTGTCATTTGTAATCATCAAAATTAAACAAAATAAACATCTGAAATATATGAGTTTGTATGTAATGTATGAATATAATATACAAGTTTCACTTTTTAAATGGAATTACTGAAATCAATCTACTTTTTCATGATATTCTAATTTTATGACCAGCACCTGTAGGCCTGGAATTATTGTGTTGGGTGGAGAAACTGAATATATGCACTAAGTAAAAGATTTTTCCGAGCAAAGTGAATACAACAGTTGAAATATATTTTGTCCCTAATCTCCCAAACAGTTTAAAAACTCAAAAACAGACTTTGCATCAGTGCTCCAGAGTCTAAAAACATCTTTCTACAGAGCCGGGTGGACCTGCAGAGGGCTAACGCTCCCTACGTCTTTATATGGTCCAGTCACATGCTGGGTTGTACAGTATAGCTCCTCCTTCCCCGCGGCTGTAAAGTTTCAGATCTGGTCCCCCATGCAGGACTCAGCACGCAGCTAAATAAGTTCAGAGGACAAGCTGATTAAGTTCAGGATTTCCAGCAGATCAGAGCTGCTATTCCCAGCCTAGTCCAGGCGGATTAGACCCTCAGTTCATGGAGTTGGTCAAGTAATGAAGCTTTATGTCATCCACCAAACCATCAATACTTGCAAAATTATTCATGTTTTGATCTAGTTTATATTGGATATCCAGCCTAGGATATGAAGACAAAGGAACAGACTAGACCGGTCAGGGTAAAGTAGTAGAGTTTAACACAATACTAAGGTTATAAAACTGAACTTTGAACTAAATGAGCAGCATCGATCTACAGCTCTCGCTGTTTTATCTATTCTCACAGAATTGCATTAGTGGAAATAAAAAAATGGCAGACAATAAACATCCTCATCCCTGAACAACGGTCTTCCTGGTATGTCTATAACAGAGATGACAGCCTCACATTGGGGCCTTTTAGGAAGCTTTAAATGGCCTTTACCACCAAAATCAAGTTTGCTGGGTTTTCAGCTGTGCTATAATACTATCCCTTTATCATAATCGTGCTAGAAGTTGTATGACACTTGATTCATAATTTCTGCTCCCTGAGCAGCAGCCCCTCCCTGTCCTGGAAGGATGATTGGCTCTCACCGTATTATAGGACAGAGTCACCCCCACCCCACCAGGAAGCACCTACTGTGACCTGGCTGTGCCTGCTGTGTAAAGCAGCAGTTTTTATGTTTTGAGTCAAGGAAATTTTTTTTTTTAGCTGCAATTGGTCTCAGACTTTGCAGAGACTTTCCCAGGAATAACCGAATCACCAGCGGTTCGTTTCAGGAGGCAGGTTTACCAAAAACTCAAAGTTTTCTAAACCTGAAAACAGGAAAACCGACTTTTCCTCAACCTGTTTCAGTCACCATAGTAACATTCTCTCTGGTTGGAAGCAGGTTTTCTTCGATAAACTCAGTGTCCTCTGTCTCCGCTCTCGTTACAACCAATCACGTGGTTTTATTTCCTGATATAGTCAGATTTTTGTCATTGTTTTGTGCATAAAAAGAAAAAAAAAATATATATATATATAAGCAGGTACGTTACACACATTAGGTTTAAAACGAACATTACATGTTCGTTTGACGAGGATCTTGATCGGAGAGAAATAAATATTTATAGGGAGAGGATACTTAGGCTCAGTTGACAGGGCATGAGATTACTTGTTTTTGGTTGGTTTTTGGTTTTTATTTAAGTATATTTACAGTACATGAAGAACTTACACATAAATAGATTCATTAATTCCAGGGGCAAAAGGAATTACTTTAGGGTTAGGATTTACTTGATGATAAGGACCTAATGAGCCTACTGGCATGATCTGAGGCCTTCTATGGGCCTCTATAGCCACTAATAACAACCATTTATTGGGATGATAACGTCCGAAGCGCTGCTGCAAACAGCCACTTATATTTAATAAAAACGTTTTTTTTTAGATTTCATTTTCACCTGCTGCCATAAGATTTCACCTAAATGCGTAGATTGGTCCACTATATTTCAAAAAAATAGTCCTGTAATATTTCTGCTGGTGCAACACCTTATGGCAAGCTGTTTTGATATCTACTAGTTTTACTGAATATGTATTCCTGATATCTAAAAAAAAAAAGTTCTTTGTCTAATTGACTATTTCAAACAAAATATTATCCTCCACATCTAGAATATTTTCAGATCTTGATATTCCTGATATTACTTCTCAGGATAATAAAAATTGTTTTTCAGATATAGAAATACATATTTAGTCAAGCTAAAACGGTCACTTTAAATGTATAAAGATTTCTATGAATATAAAATAATTCATATGAGTATAATTTTGTGTTTTTTACCTCCTAAAATTCAGTTTCTGCTACAAAAATGTAATCTAGAAAATAGATTATTACAGTTAGGTCTAGGAGTGTGATATTGATCAGGAAGAATCATATTCTAGTGATCTACAAATGAAACAAAAGAGAGGAGAGAGCTTTTTGTAAAATCGGCCTACCATAGAAACTTCATATAAACTTATGCCTTAACTCGAGCAGCAATCTTCTCCTTCGCCATCTTCCACTCCTTTGCAGCAATAGCTGTGTTTTTCTGTCTTTTAAACACATTCCTTTAAAAAAAAAACTCTGTAGTTCCACTGGGGGTGAAATAGGCACTTCCTGTTGCCTGTTGTGATGGTGACTCATGGAATCAGTGTTTTTCATAATTGTTACGCACATGCTAAACTCTGAGTAGACCTACTTAGAGTTGATTGAACTAATCCATAGCAGTCGTCGTGAAACCGAAAACTAAAGTTTTCAACTTCAGGCTAGATCAATTTAGAGTTGTGGATTTTAATCCAAGTTTGTGAAACCTGCCTCAGATATGGCCCGGTGCGGCACCCACACGGGGACATTTACAGTAAAGACGGGCATCATCCAGGTTGAAAAATAGCACCAAAAACAAATTATTTTGATATTACGTATACCCAAGTTCATATTTCTTCAATGGATTAAAGCCATATTTGGTAACCCTATCAAGGAGCAAAAGGTAAGATATGTACTGTATATTTAACCAAATTATTCTCCTTGGCCAGCCAGGATGGAAGAAACATTCCCAATAAACAATGTCATCTCCATCTTCAATAATTTAGGGAAGTTTTTCTCCTTACAGAATTTGAGGTACAGTCAGTAAGTACTTAGGTGTGCAGCCAGTGTTTACATCCTGGTTCCTGATGAAGTCCTACAGTGTATGGGAGTTTGGAGTAAATCATTTGGTACTTCATGTTGGCAAAAAGAGCTGCAGCCTGGAAACAGAACAGAAATAGCTTCCATTAAATCTGTCTTAAATTCTTACATTTAAGAGATTTAAGAATCTTTAAAAAAAATCCCTATCTATGCTGTGTATTTGTCTCCCTTGACTTGCAGAAAAACAAATCACCATGTGATCCATTTAATGGCTGGTTCTAAGCTATTACGTATTGCTCCATTAACTATTAATAAAACAAAATAAGCAGCTTTCTTCTCTCTAGCTACTCAGTACTTTATGTTGATCTAAAGAATAAAAATCTTAAGTCAAATGACATTTATGCTCAGATGACATGACAGAGTGTAAAAATGTTCAAAGACTGGAAAGGAAATTCATTCAGACTTGGTGTTTTCCACAGCAGACACTTTAATTGCATCACTCATTTATTGCCTGTAGTTGCACCCCAAGAAATGGGAAAAAATGCTTCACAAAAGTAAAATCAGGTATAAAAGGTAAACTTATACAATCATAAACTACAGAGCTGTGGACCCAGCAAACAAACTGATTTTACATTTGGCTTGATGCAAGCAACAAACAGCCATCAGTCAGGAAGCTCCTTCGAGGCTTCAGGTTCTGGGTTTGGTAGCGAAGGTCAGATACCCTGTGTGACCGGGCATTTCTCTGGGTAAAGTGGTGGTTTTAATTCTTAAGGAGGTTTGGTTTGGACTAGCAGCGGTAGAAGCCCCCTCCATGGCTTGTGGGCTTGCCTGGGAGGAGGAGGGGTCAGGGCCGAAATCAGGCAGTTGCAGAGTGACGTCTCTGACATTGTGGACTCTCAGCAGCACCTCCAGCGTCCTGATCTCCTCAAAGCCTTGCTCCGTCAGTGCCTCACAGGTCCTCTGGACCTGTTCTATACATGGGGAGAAGGAGCACAGCCGGCCGCCTGGAGAAAATTAGACAAAAGGAGAAAAAGATGAGGTCATTACATGGAAAAATAGTTTTTTGTTCATTATTTTTACAGTGTAATGAGAACAACAGTTGTACAAACTTCTAATGACATCACAAACCTAAGATCATTGCAGTGGGACTTTATAAATCAGCAGGTGTAGTACAGTATTTAGAAGTAGAAGGAAAAATGTAAATAAAAATAATCCGAAAGCTAACCCTCTTTCCCAATGAAAATAGCGGGTTAATATACGTTTTTCAAACATGGGTCGACCAGCTAACTATCGCCATTTGGCTCCCTTCCCATTGGCAAAAAAAGCTGGGCTCCATCCTGATGGCAGCTGCCTTTTATGCTGCTGCTTTCTGTCTGGCGTAGGGTGTTGACGTCCGTTCGTTTTGCTCAATGGTATGACGTAAATTAGAGGGTCAAACTGGGTCTGGTGTTCCCACAGCATGCAGATCAGAGCTGAGGCAAATTCAACAGCCGTCACTCGCCGAGTCGTGAGCTGTTCCCACTGCCATTAAAGGCAAACTGTTCCAGGGTTTAAACAGATTTTTTAGCCAGCGGGAAAGTGGTAGTAGAACCAGCACTAAAAGCTCTTTTCCACTGAAATTGGTGGGCTAACCTAAGTTTTTCAAACCTGGATTAGCCCACTAACCATTGGCATTTGGCAGTGAAGATTCTCAGTCATCCAGGTCAAAGTCATTCCAAAAAAGTTAAAAAAACAACCCTGTGGATTTTGTTTCCAAGTTTGAAGACGTTTCGCTTCTCATCCAGGAAGCTTTCTCAATTCAAAATGTCAGAAATATGGTCGAGTTCAAGGCTTTATAGAGTGGAACAAAAACAAACCATGTTTTGGCTTCAAAAACGTGCAAATTGAACCAGACAAACGTGTTCGCTCCTTTGGAGTAGGGGTGTTTTGGTTTCTTTGTTAGCCTGCAATAAATACATTTTTGGCCTGGCTGAACAGGCAAGGTCTTCTGTTCCCCTGTAAGGAGGTGGGGGTTGCAATAATAGCGATCAACTCAATTGCTGCACTGTAGGTTTTTGAAAGATGAAACCTGAGTCCACTCCTCTGTTTAAGGTGCCATTAAAGGCAAATTGGCCCACGGTTTCTAGATAGGAACCGAAACATATTCAAACTTTTGAGAGTCCAGTTGATTATTTTTTTTTACTTTTTTGGAACGTTGGCATTTGGCTTTCTTCCTATAGGTAAAAAAAAAACCTGTCCGCTAACTGTCCCCACTGGCAAGCTTCTTTCCCCCCGACTGCTATGTGTCTGACGACACCATCACGCTGGGTTAGCGTTGATGATGTCACCAGTGAGAAAGAAATCAGGACAGTAAACAAATGAGAGCAACATGTAAGGAAGCCAGGGCGTAGTCAATGTGCTTTATTGTTTCGCTCTTTTATCGGTCTTTCACCAGAGCTGTTTGTTTATCGAATGTAGACAGAGTCGTTTCAGCTTGTTGGATCAGACATGGCGCTCATCTAAATTACTGGGTCTGATGTTCCCACTGTATGACGACCGAAGCCGAAACATTTTGAAGTGGATTTTAACGTGGGACGCTTGCTGCGTCGTTCAATTGGAGTCAATGTGGGTTAGTAAGACATTCTCACTGCGCTAAAAGCTGATTGTTTCCCGGTTTTAATATTTTTTTGGTCAGTGTGAAAGGGGTATATAACTCAAATAAAGCTGTAGTTGTGACTTTTTCTTTACTTTTAACATGGCAGCAGAACTAAAACTGAAGTTCAGGGGTTGCAATATTTATTTATTTGCATTTATTTATTGGGGACAATGCATATGAATGAATATCTGAAACAAATACAGCCAAAAACAGGCCAGATTTCAGCTGAAAAAAACTGCTAATTTACATCTGTAGTACCCAATGCATGTATTAATATTATATATAAAGCTGTGGAAGTATTTAGTTCCCTTGTCCGACCGCATTGTTTGTCCAAATGTCTGTTTGGATCCACGCAGTCATCCGAGCAGTTGTCATGGTAGCAGTCTGATTTGCTGCCATCAGTTTGATAAAATCTTTCTTACTTTTGATTACTGCAAATTACACACATTTCATTTATATCACCCTCCCTAAGTTATTTCACTAAATTTGCATGTCAAACCACTGTTTTTTGTGACTGTTTTTTGTTCCTTACCTCTGTTTGGTGTTTTTTAACGTCAGTCTTTTTGCTGTCAAGCACTGAGACCAAACTGAATTCCACAAAGATAGATTTGCCTCAATATTGACTCTACTTATTGTCTTTGAAGGCAATTTGTCTTGCTGGATTCTTTGTAGTGTAACCAGGGTAAGGAGGGCTTAGTTTAAAAACAACAAAAAAAGTATCAGTACGTTCAAATGCAGTATCCCATTAAACACTGAGGCTAGAGCCAAAGATTGTACTCAAAGTCAGACGTGTACAGAAAACATCCATTTCCTCATTATTAGTTATTTTGGCAGAAACACACATGATCCCATGTTTGAGGAAAGTTGTCCGACTGTGTGAAAGTAGATTTTTTTTTTTTTTTTTTTTTTTAGGAACCTCCCTAAGTTTAGCATTTTATACAATCCTTCCTAATTTTTTAGGAGAAAAAATTTGCTCTCATAGGATAACTACTGACGTATTTGCTTCACACCAAAGATACAAAATAAAAAAGCACAGTTCTTGCCTAAAATTCAAGCAAAAAAACCCCAACAACTTTGATGTTGATTGGCGGGTCTAAGCTGCAGTCCGTGGATCATCGTCTCCACATGAAACCTTGAGGTAATCTCAGCAGGAGGTAGGATAAACTGGCCAATAGACCAGTCATGGCTGACTTTAAACAATACACAGAGACACAGAGGTCTAGGTTTATAAAATAGACTAAAATTTCAAGTTTAAACTCCGATAGTAAGGAAGAGTTAAAACCAAACCGTAAAGCAGCTTTAATGTAGAAGCATTATGCCCCTCAAAATTGGTTTTCTTCCAGTCAAAAATACAAAAACCGTTCTATTTGAGGGTGAATGGTTGAATGAATGTACAGGTGCTGGTCATAAAATTAGAATATCATGAAAAAGTAGATTGATTTCAGTAATTCCATTTAAAAAGTGAAACTTGTATATTATATTCATACATTACATACAAACTCATATATTTCAGATGTTTATTTTGTTTAATTTTGATGATTACAAATGACAACAAATGAAAATCTCAAATTCATCATATCAGAAAATTAGAATATTGTGAAAAGGTTCAAAATTGATGGCCCCTGGTGCCACACTCTAATCAGCTAATTAACTCAAACCACCTGCAAAAGCCTTTAAATGGTATTTCAGTCTAGTTCTATAGGCTACACAATCATGGGGAAGACTGCTGACTTGACAGTTGTCCAAAAGACGACCATCGACACCTTGCACAAGGAGGGCAAGACACAAAAGGTCATCGCTAAAGAGGCTGGCTGTTCACAGAGCTCAGTGTCCAAGCACATTAATAGAGAGGCGAAGGGAAGGAAAAGATGTGGTCGAAAAAAGTGTACAAGCAAGAGAGATAACCGCACCCTGGAGAGGATTGTGAAACAAAACCCCTTCAAAAATGTGGGGGAGATTCACAAAGAGTGGACTGCAGCTGGAGTGAGTGCTTCAAGAACCACCACACACAGACGTATTAAAGACATGGGTTTCTGCTGTCGCATTCCTTGTGTCAAGCCACTCTTGAACCACAGGCAGCGTCAGAAGCGTCTTGCCTGGGCTAAAGAGAAACAGGACTGGACTGCTGGTGAGTGGTCCAAAGTCATGTTCTCTGATGAAAGTAAATTTTGCATTTCCTTTGGAAATCAAGGTCCCAGAGTCTGGAGGAAAAGAAGAGAGGCACTTCATCCACGTTGCTTGAAGTCCAGTGTAAAGTTTCCACAGTCAGTGATGGTTTGGGGTGCCATGTCATCTGCTGGTGTTGGTCCATTGTGTTTTCTGAGGTCCAGGGTCAACGCAGCCACATACCAGGAAGTTTTAGAGCACTTCATGCTTCCTGCAGCTGACCAACTTTTTGGAGATGCAGATTTCATTTTCCAACAGGACTTGGCACCTGCACACAGTGCCAAAGCTACCAGTACCTGGTTGAAGGACCATGGTATCCCTGTTCTTAATTGGCCAGCAAACTCTCCTGACCTTAACCCCATAGAAAATCTATGGGGTATTGTGAAGAAGAAGATGCAATACACCAGACCCAACAATTCAGAAGAGCTAAAAGCCACTATTAGAGCAACCTGGGCTATCATAACACCTGAGCAGTGCCACAGACTGATCGACTCCATGCCACGCCGCATTGCTGCAGTAATACAGGCCAAAGGAGGCCCAACTAAATACTGAGTGCTGTACATGCTCATACTTTTCATGTTCATACTTTTCAGTTGGCCAACATTTCTATAAATCCTTTGTTTTTATTGGTCTTCAGTAATATTCTAATTTTCTGATATGATGAATTTGAGATTTTCATTTGTTGTCATTTGTAATCATCAAAATTAAACAAAATAAACATCTGAAATATATGAGTTTGTATGTAATGTATGAATATAATATACAAGTTTCACTTTTTAAATGGAATTACTGAAATCAATCTACTTTTTCATGATATTCTAATTTTATGACCAGCACCTGTAGTGTAAAGCGCTTTGGTCAAGTCTTCTAACTTGAATAAGGGCGCTATATAAGTACATGCCATTTACCATTTACCATTTTTATGAGATTCATTCTTTCATTGTATCAGTAGTTTTACATCTAGTCTGCTCTCTGCTAACTGCAATGGATTTTAAGGGAAATCTTAATCATTAACTTAGCTGGTGTTTCCTAGATACTGTGGGGGGGGAAAGCAAAAATGTCAACCAGTGGCAAGCTACTTCTGAAACCAAGGTTCTTGCTTAATGAACCTGCTGCAAACTTCATAAAATGTAACCCATCACAGACAGTAAAATGAGCAGAGACTGTATAACACACCTTGTAAAAGCCCCACCCAGTCAGCTG